ACAGTAATGAAATAGTGAGGGGGGACCATGTGGGTGGGAAACGGGTATAAATCTAATTGAAGTGGCCTAAATATAATAGTAGTAGGACACGGCCATGCATGATCCATGGAAGCCACTCCCTAATTGAGGCTGCACGTACATGGACATGGACTGGGGAGGGCGTTTAAGCCCACCATTTAACATACCCATTAGTCTCGCCCCACCCCTTCGCTTACCTCCGGAGGAAGGATCTGAAAGAGATGTCCAAAGGGACTCTATCCTCAACTTTTCTTAGCTGCAAAGCATCTGTTTCAGCTATTTTGACCTATCTGGTCTCCTCTATCACATGATGTAGGTCAACCATGTGTTCCTCTTTGCACACATTTTAGATGGTAGTGTCTCCAGACCACTCCTCCAGCTCCGCAGGTAGTGAAAGGGCAGGCGAGACTACATACCCATAAATGTATAAAACAGACAATTTACTTTATATATTTACCTTACTTGAAGAGATTGAAGTAATGAAGAGAATGAAGGCAAATTGAAGTATATACATAACTGATACAAAACTCTGTATACATATATATAAAGTAATTAATAACTGAACGTTTATTAATTTACAATAATTCCTCTCACTTGAAGTGAATCTTGGTGTAAGTAGATAGGGTGTTTAGGCAGGCACATCATCTTAATCTCATCATAGATAAGTCAGTAAGCAGCGAGGTAAGCAGTAATTGCAAAATGAAGGTGTCCCCATTGAATAATACTGAGCATGTGCAGTTGAATGCATAAAAATGGCGTCCAACAACTTGGAATAACGACAAAAATCATTTTGTAGAAATACAATGCCAAGCCACACTGCACTAGCGTCTCTCAAGCGCAACAGAATGGTGCAAAAATCATATTTTTAGGATAAAAACTCTAGGACTAGTTCTTACTTAACTGTGGAAGAAGAAGGAGAAAGAAACCTGAACATTTTGTGCATGCAGGCATGCAAGCATTCATTTGCTGTAAAACTATCTTATGGAAGTTTTTAATTACTTTTTATAAAACTGATGTATTATCATAAAATTATAAAGGATATCTGAACCGTCGAATAAGCCACAAAGAATTCCCGAAGATTTACACAGGCTCAATACTTCTGGGATGGCGGCCATTTTGGGAGTGCGCTCGTCCAACTCAACCCTACATACCAAGCGCTAACGCTTGGTAATGTACAATTGAAATAGAGCATGAAAGTATTTCAAAAAACAGCAAAATACTTTATAATGCTTTAATGTTAATGAAAGATGCCTTTTGAGTGACAAAACTTTTGAAACACTAATGTTCATTAAATTCAATACAAACACAAGTACCTTCTTTGTCTCCTGGCCCTGTATGCCAGACATGGCAGTACAGATATCAGTATGATAGCTGTGATTATGAGCATAACATGGCCAAGGAACACACCCAACCATATTGGAGCCATCTTCTGATTTATTTTATCTAAAGGAAAGGAGAGATCATATTAAAATGTTAAGTGAAAGTTTAATGTAAAATGCTTTACACGTACATGTACAACTGTACTTCTTCATGATACATGTACATGTACTATACACATGCACATGCATGCATAAGTACAGGGTCTTAGCCCAAATTTTGGAGTTACTTAAAAAATTTATATAGAATCTAAACTTGATTGGAATCAGCTCAAACTTTTTATCCACATACATTGTGTACATGTAAGTACATGTACATGTATAATCAAAAAATTATAATGGAAATCTCCCTAAATTACAAGTATATTTTTGTCAAAATTAGATCAAATTTCTGCCTTACCATTTTTGAAAAAATCTGTGCACCACATGTATATATAATACAGGAACTTCAGCCCAATTTTTGAGCAACTTTAAGAAAATTTTGATCAAATTTCGATTTTTTTACAAATTCATAAAGTTTATGAGTACATGCATTTATACATGCATGAGCCACAAATGTAGTAAGAAAGAAGAATTCTTTCTTTGCTATTTTTGACAAAATTTGGCTTAAAACCATGTACTAGAAGTATAGTTTAAGTACATGGCCTTTAGGTTCAATTTTGAGCAGCTTTAAAGTTTTCTTTAAAAATTCAGAATCAGTTCAATTTTCTCTATACAACATAAGTACATGTACATTCATATGCATCAGAAAATGAAATAAAAACAAATAATTTTCTCCTTGCCAATTTTGGGAAAATTTGGCCAAAGTCCATGTATTGCATGTACATGTAGGACATCTAGACTGTGATTCCTGAAAATTATACTGGGTTCAATGCTTCTGGGTGGCAGCCATTTTTGGGCTGTAATTGTCCAACTCAACCATTGACTATAGTCCTTATTTTTTTTTTAAATTTGCTTATTCTTACAAATGGCCATAACTTGAAAAATATGACTTAGAATTTGCTCAAAAATTCTATTATATAGTAGCATAAAGACATCAATATGTATCAGAAAATGAAATAAAATTTTTGATTTCCGAACCATTTTTTAGAAAAATTTTGGACTACAGGGTATTTTGTTAGAATTTTGGTATTTTGTTAAATTGGCCGTCACTCAAAAAATTGAAATTAGAATCAACCGTTTAAAGAATTTTTGAAAAAAAGCAAAAACCTATTTAAATTTATTACAAATTATTCAAAAAGACCATAGTCCATGGTTTTTTCCAAACAATGGCTTCAAATTCACCCTAAATTTTTATTATATTTTCTGATATAATGAAGTCCTTATACTACATTTTATATAGAAAGTTTGAGCCATAACTTCAAAAATATTAGGCAAAATTTGCTTAACCTTTTCTACATAGCATACGGACATATTAAAAACTATCATGCTTGCATCATAGGCTGCATGTGTTATAAATGTTATCATTCACTTATCAGTAGGCTCTAGTTGTGATTCTTCTAATAATATACATGTATAAACGTAATTGTATTAAAGACTTGATAAAATCAACACTTGATTGGAATCAGCTCACACTTTCTGCACAACATAAATACTTTGAAAAAAGTAATAAAATGAAGAGTCTTCTCCTTTTCAATTGCGGTGAAATTTCCCAGTATTGGGGCTTTGCTCCAATTTTAGAGCAACTTTATAGAGATTTGTAAAAGTCCAAATTTTATTGGAACCAGCTTATAACTGAGTACATGTAAATGTGCAATAAATACTATACTTAAAAACTGGAGGTCTATTAAATTCTCTTGTCAAAAAACTCAACTCCATTATTATAATTAAGCACTTATCAGGAGAACACTCAGTTATTTAATGAAGGCAGAGATAGTAGAGTCTACTATCTATGAGGTTAATAAACACCTCATCTTCACCAACTGTCACCATAATTAATAACTAATAATTTAACTAACCTGATAATTATTATTGGATCAACATCTTTGTAATTTCGTAAAACCCAGTTTAGCAAGGTTCTTGAATGATAAATGTTAATAACAAAATCAAACCCACCTAATGTACCTTTGAGTAGATAAATTGTCTGAGAGGTTTACCACTACCAAACATGTTCAATGGTTGGTCGTTCTCTAATTAAAAGCGTAAAGCAGGAAACATTGAAATGAGCAAGATAGCACTTGTGTATAAGGCCAGGTATATGGCATTACTGTCTTCTAAATTAAAGTTATCAAATATTAGTAGCAATAACACTGGTGAAGGTAATCATAAAAAAGATAAAAATAATAAAGAATAATAACTATTTATACCGTGCATGCATACTTTTATAGCCTAGCCACGCCCTTTCGCAAATGCAGCATTATTGATTGGCTTGTAGGGCTCAGGCTTGTGCCTTTGATTGTATCTTTCACTTTTTATCTTACAACAGTTTATCATTAACAGCAATAGAGGTAAGTATAAGTTCATTTTAAGTATACTTTACTCATACAACAAGATGATTATTGTTTCTCAATGGAGAGCAAGTATTGGACTGTGGAACTACTGTCAAGCCGCTGCCCAAGGCTCCAGTGGTCGCTACTTTCACTCATTAAAAGCTGCAGTAGACAGCAAGTCAGGCAGTACAACAACAGGGGAAAAGACATCTAAATTGCCAGCAGCTCTGTCTCTTATTGCTTTTCTTAATTTAGCTTCATTACTACTAGAAGCCGTGGCTCAATTTTATTTCTCCACCACTAACAGTATACTGTAAGTCCATTCATAATAACTTTACCTACTTTAACCTTTGGCCTAATTTTATTGAAGTTAATGGCTGTATTCTGTTATGATTGTCATTGCTCATTTCGTTATGTCAGTTGTAAAAATTGTTATAAGAATGTTAACCCATTGCAAAAATGCTATAATTGTTAACCCTTTTCCTTACACAAGTAATTCGCAAAGATTAATCCTTTGGACAACTTTTTGAATTATTTATGTTGTCATGGAAATCATCCATTATTCGACGCCACACCTCTTGACCACGCCCAATCAGCCATTTTGATCGTTTTTCATAGAGTATCTTTGTGCCTTTCAAGAGCTCTCAGTAGACCTGCAAGTTCTATTCCATTCACTTAAAAGTGCTCCAAAGCACCTAAACTGCTTGCACCTACATAGATTTTAGCTGCTGCATTTACTTACAACCAGTTTCATTGCCTTTACAATATCATCAACAAATAGTCAACTTTTTGCAAAAAAATAAAAAATAAAAATAAGTGTTAAATAGCAATTATATCAAAGTGCCGACAAAGCATTCTTTCACTTTTCTATTCTTTCCTATGGTTTCTATTTTACCACTAATATTATTCAATACCAATTTCTGCCAAGAAGGTGTGGTTTCCTGTAAAACGCACGTGTTTGCCCTAAAAAGAGGCGTGGTAATTGCTTTTTTATTAATTTTTATTACCTTGTTGTAGTTCTACAACTAATTGTCAGGCAAAGAGTTAAATTATTTGGGTTTGCAGTATAATAATTATCATACAGTTTATTTAAATAGGTACATGTATAATTACTGTTACTGGTATGATCCACTGCTTCCAGTTATCAGTCTTGTTTAAATTTAAAGCTACTATTGGCTCTGACCTGATATATTTGGTTTTACTTCTCCTCCTCTTATCAGGAGATGTTGAACTCAATCCTGGTCCTATAACAGGTAAGCATACACTTAATACAACACTCATTAACTGATACACTACTGCAGGTAATCCAAAGGATATATTAAGGACTCACTCTGTTAAACTCACTAATGCTATTACTACTAACCTTTACAGAGTAACTGATGCACTGTATGCTGAAGGACTGATACCACTGGATACTAAAGAGAATGTTCAAACAGTAACAGGAATATCTGATTATAGGAAATCAAGTCATTTAGTGTCTGTGATGCAACGACAGTTGGAATCTTATCTTAATCCAGAGCATTATCTTATTGATATATGTCATGTATTGAATGACCAACAACATTGTACACTAACAAATATTGCTACCTCTATATTACATCAGTTAGGTGAGTGTGTGCGTAGTGCGTACATTATCAGTGATTCATTATCTCTATATCTCAAAACATTTTAGGTGAGTTTATACCTGAATATGTCAGTTCACATACTGTACTACCATCAACATTTGATGATATATCCAATACACCAGTTACAGGCAATAAATTTGTTAATGTGTATATTCATTGCTTTTATGTACATGTACCTTGATTAATAGGTCAGTCTGATGTAGCTAAACCCATTAGTTCAATACCTGACAGTGTTCAAGGATATGCTGACAATATGAGACAAAATTACAAATGCCAACCTATTGTTGCTTCAGACTGGCCACCAAGAATCGGAAAAAATTTCTTTGGAAGACTAGCATTAATAGAA